TTGTTGTTGCAATTTTTATTGCTTTCAATTTTGTATTCAATTGCGCGATGCGACAGGGTGCAATCAGTCGTGTGTTAAGCGTGCAGCCACAAATATTGGTCAGGTAATTGAAAGAGCAGCAAAACTGCAGGCACAACAGCAACAACAATCGGCCATAGCAACATAGAGCGATCAGCAATGATTACTGCGTTTTGCGCACGGCATAAACATAACTGTGGCAATTGTGGCTGCGGATGTGGCAGTGAATGTGGCGACAGCCACGAAATCGCTACTCAATTTGATAAGTTTTTCAATTACATATTTTATTATTGTACATATTACTTATGTTTGTATATACATTAGGGCGGGTCAATTTGTTTGACCGTGTGCATATAGCAGGCGATGATCCTAAGTGTAACCCTAATCAAATTAGCCGAAGAAACTATGGGTCTAAAATCAATTTGGAGTTTATCAAATTACGAAAGTAGGTTTCGAAGAAAATGCGAAAATTTTTACTGTTGCGCCCTATGGTGGAAGATAAGTGTGGAAATGGATTCCTTATACCAAAAACCCATTATAGCATGTTTTTTTTTTTTTAATTTAAGCACTTCCTTACGCCACTACACCGAAAAGCTAAAAAACCTATTTTCGCATTTTGGCAAACTTAAAATTGATTTTAGACCCTTAGTTTCTTCGGCAAATTTGCTTAGAATTACATGCAGAATCCCTCTGTGCTATATGCGCATAGTCGAAAAAATCTCCCAATCTAGAAATTGACCCGCCCTAAAGTAGATGTGTATGTATGTGGTATACATCGTTGCAGTGGCAATAGCAGCAACAAGATAATTGGAAATACTGTAATTATTGACAGGCAAGCACGTTGCACAAATTCCACACAGGCGCATCCGCATATCCAAGAACGTATTTGCATCACACTAGCGCTTTGTAATGCAACTTACATCCTAGTAAGTTGCAAGTAAATTCAATTTGATCACAAACAAAAAGCTAAAGAAAATCATTGGGGAAATTGGAATTATAAGAGGGGGAAAAAATAAAGAAATTGAAATGTCAAATGACTACACAGCCACGTGAAGGAAATATGTACATATACATATATACCGATATGTATTGGTGAACGCACTTGCTTCAGCTCCCTGCAGCAATAAGGCGGCCAATTTTCCGTTAAGGACTAGTACTTCACTGGTTAAAATTTGACTGGTCAGAATTGGACATTTGCTTGCATCGAAAATGTCAGCCTTCGCCCACTGCCCAAGGAATCGGCCTAAAGATAGACGAAAAGTACAGTTTGGCAGTGACAGGGTGGTGTTGTCTTGCAATTCAATAAAAAAAAAATTACAGAACTTGATGCAAAGTGAACTTTTGAACACACATTTACATGCATGGCTGTAGCTCAGTGCGCAGAGATGCTTGCCACTATTTGTTAGCTTTCAGAAGGGTCCGGGTTCAAATGCCGTCAGAAGCAACATGGTTATAAAATGATAAAATGTTTTTTTTTTTTGTGTTTCCAAATTATGAAAAAGCATCTGCGAAGTGCAGAACGCAATCTTACTCCAACGAAAAAAATCTCCAAATTTGGAATAGTCCAGGACTATCTTACGGGCAGTGTTGATAAGACCGCTCCTTTTCCAATGACACGCCAATGCTAAAAATGACAGTTGAAACCATTGGCAGGGGAATTATGAGAGACTAGTGCTGGTAACAATAGGGACTATCTGTGCGCTAACCTAGGGTGAGTCTGAATTGCTGAAGGGCTGCTTCTTGACCCTGTTGCCTTATTTGCATTTGCCATATCTATACATATACTTATATGTATGTGTGACGTTGACACTTACCCCGACACGGTCCCGGATATGCGACGGCAATTGAACGTCCACTCTTGCAAATCATTCGATTTATATCACAAACACTACGGTATGTCTTGCCATCGACACCGCACACAGCGCGCTTTGGGTCAATAGCGTGCGAGGCAGCCGCGGCAGCATCATCTTCGGGGCAATCGATTTTGCAAGCGATACAGTGTGGTATGGTATATTGATCTTCGACACACGTAAGACCACCGAGGCATTTCACACCATTGCAAGAAGCTGGAAATTGAAAGAAGATTAAAAAGTGTTATTAGCGAGGTTATTTATTCTACAGTAATATTCATTAAGTTTTATTAGATAAGAAGAATTCTATAATCTTAAAACGGCAATCAATGTTAGAGGTAAATATAAATTGCGAGCAATTTTCGAACTTTTGATCCTCAGCTTAAGTTAGTTAGCTGTATGCAGCCTTATTCAAATAGCTGCAAAGAGAAAAGTTGTCTTATTAATTTGCTCTGATCGTCAGACAGCCTGTATAAATAGTTTTGGACTCGCACAGGGATAATGCAAAGTTCTTTTACTAAATGCAGCAGATCTCTGAATGAGATGACCCAGCATCTAAAGTAGGAATGACCCAGGGTAGGGTGAAACGCAGTGACCAAATCTAATAAAGCTTTCTACTCGACTACTCAAAAGGCAGAGCTGTTGATACTGCGCTACATCTAATTGTGCCCAGTATTGCGAAAACTTGATCTTAAAGGCACTTTCTACCAGCTACTTATTATTATTAGCAAGGACTTTTTGAATATCGGGCAGAATTCGTTCGACATGGTGGAGTATCGGTCACCGAAAACGCGCCTAAGGGCACACTGCAAAGCATAATTCACTTCAAATTCCTTCGAAGGAGATTGTTAAATATCTAGAACTTATATCAAAGAGGGATCTTAGCCTTCGCCTCAGTAATTAATACCCAACTGAGCGACAAGAGGTTAAAAATACATTGGAAGAACTTCTGGACCACCAGCTAAAGGGGAGGATATTTTCACTCGCTCTCCACTGCATAAACATCAATACGCTTATAAAAAAAGGTAAGCCAAAGATTACGGCACCTCACTTCATCGTAGGTGTAATAGAAAAGGCATTTGCATCAAAGGGGATTGCCATCTGCTCATTCATGGACATTAGGGTGGCTTTGCCAATGCTTGCTTCAAATCCATGGAAGTGGCTCTGTTCAATAGAGGTGCCAATTCCAAAATAGTCGAATGGATTGGCTATATGCTTACCCAGAGCACAATCAAGGCGAACCTCAGCATCACCGGAGTCCACAAGGAGGAGCGTTTTTCCACTGTTGTGGTCTATACTGGCTGATAAATTGGTCAGGTTCTCAGTGCAGGTCCTGCAGGACGCCCTACCTAAACAATTGGTGTGGTAGAGAGGGATTGTCTATAACTCCCAATAAAACTACAATCATAGCTTTCACTAGCAAAAGGAAGCTGTGCTTTCCAGACGTAAACATAAACGGGACTGTGTTCGCCTAAAGGAAGATGTCAAATATCTAAGCATAACCATGAATAGAAAACTCACTTGGGAATCACATCTCTACTCAATTATCAACAAATGCAATGAAATCGTTGTTAATTACTAAACAGCTCGCCGGAAAAACATGGTGATTGCATCCCAAAAAGATTTCCTGGGTTGTAGCTTTTAAGGAGGTGACAGAAATTGCAAGCATTGCAATCTGCAAATTAAGGAACAGAAATAACATTATTCAAAAGACCAATAGGTCATGGATAGCTGAGGGCACTTGTATAACAACTAGGAGGCTACTACGGACGCAAACTCATGAGAAATCAACAGAAGAAATGCTGAGCCTCTCCAGAGCGAACATTTCGAAGGTCATGGCTTGTGAACCCTGTCATTGGTTAGTTGGTAGACATTCTTCGAGGCTATAAACATGCAGAAGTTGCAAAGAGGAAGAAACTGTCGAATATTCCTTCGGCAGTTGGCCAGCTGTGGCTAAGAGCAGAGCAGGCTTTTTAGGTAAACACTTCTTTAGCTCTTACGGAACTACGGAACTATCCGTTATAAGAATGAAACCAATGCTACGCTTCATAAAAGCTTCGAAATGATTTCAACTGACCTTAACCTTATTAATCTTGTTTATTCCTATGGAACTTGACAAAGAAGAATTTGCTGCTGCGAGGGCCGGAAATCCGGGCCCGGCACTGAATATGTACAAGGGTGGTTTGGCTTTGGATTTACTATGAGCTATGTTTATGTCATTGTAAAGCTCTTATATCTCATGGTTACATCGTCTGCAGAATCTTTACCTCGAATACTGCAAGGGTCACTTCTGAGGGCGCTGATACCAATTCTAACATTGCGGTAGAAAGGCAACTGCATTTCGTGGTGTCCGAAGCAGCTTTGAAGTCGACAAAGAAATGGTGTATGTCGATCCTCCTTTCACTGGTCTTTTACAAGGCTTGGCGTAAGGTGAATACCTGGTATATAGTTGTTTCATCAGGCCCAGCCAGTTCATTGCTGGTGGGATTTAGTCTTTTAAACAAAACGCCTGTAGTTATCGCAGAATCGCCCTTATTTGCTGAACACATTTAAACTCTAAATAGAAAGTATGCTTACATCAAACCACGGAAATTGGTGCATGCGCCTTACCAGCTCCCGGGCATCATATTTGCATAGTTCAGCTGAGAAGTTAGCGGCTTCTGCTATTTTATTATTTTTCGGCTGTGCTATTCTATTCGAATTTTGTCGTGGTAAGAGAAGGTACATCGATTCCGTCAGCATGGATTTGGGGCTCAGTCTTCGCCTTTTCAACACTTTTTTAAGGATTAAAAATTGGCAAGTTCGGGGTTCAGACAAAAACATTGTTGATAAGAGGAAACTAGTTATTCAAAACCAGCTTAGGCAGAAAATGTCGTTGATAGTGGACCAACCAGCTTTGGCATCGCAAAAACAGGCGTGAGTGAAGGTATTATTATAATTCATCGTAGGTGAGAGACACACTTAGACCCAGCGGGCTCGTTGCAGCGGGAGTATTCATGAGTGCCTTCTTGCCCTGGACGGGACAGAGCAGTAACCGAGGTAGTGTTCACAACTCCCAATTTCTTTGTCGTCGCGGCAGCTTCGGCAGAAGTTAGTCGCCGGTAAGTCCATTATGTCAGCATGTCTTCCCATCAAGAAGTGATCCGTTATAGATGCGGTCACTTGCCTAAGTAGAGGGTGTTCTAACCAAATGAGTGCGTTGGAACTTGTTTTTGTCTTGGCCTCAGACATAGTAGTTCCCTTCATCGCAAGCTATTCTGCGTTACAGTTGGCTTGTATATCTCTGTGGTTTGGCACTCACACAATGTGGGTAGTAGACTTTTAAGCTAAATCGTTAAGGAGCTTCCTACATTCTATCGCAGTTCTTGACGAAGTTCCACAGCAATATAGTCACTTTATAGCATCTTGCCTGTCGGAGACTGCTTGTTGAAGTTCTTCTTGGAAGATACTGTGGTGGTCTGGCAGCCTAAATCAGAGGTTTAATGAGAGACCCTATGAGTGTATCCCCCTCCCTACTTTTAGATTTGGGTTAGAGCTATCCGTGCAAATGGTGGCAGTGTTGTGTAATCTAGCGATCTAAACGTATCGGGGTTGTTTGACAGTGACGCTCGTTGGTGTACGGGTAGAAAATTTTATAGTTTCTATAGTTTTATAGTAGTAAGTGTAGGATTAGTGAGCGACTTATTCAGTGATATCCAACAGACTGTGACGGCAATCATAAGATACAAATACATGGAGCTGAAACAAATAAATAAATAAATAAATAATAAACCAAATTTGTCTCCCAACTGGCATCATGTTGGAGAAGGAGCGCGAACCCAGAAACAATAATTATAGAAGTTTTCAGTTTCATGTATTCTTCGGATCCCCTCATATCGTCTCTTTCTAGTAGTTATTCTAATTACTGAAATAAGTCAGACCACCACATATTGGCACTTAACAATATGCTGAACGTAGTGTTTGTCGGCATTGCAGGCAAAATTTTCGCGTCGCAAACAGCTATTCGACTCAGAGAAACCGAATGGTTGACCACCACCACGCACCACCGAAATCGCTCCTAGGAGCTTCTTCTCTGTCCACTTTCCCTCAAGGGAGGATTGGGCCGGGCAGAAGTTTTGGAGAGAGTGAGCAGTGAATTTTTTCACGGATGGATCGGAACTGGACGGTAGAGTTGGTGGAAGAGTCTTCTGTCGATAGCTTGCAATCAGTGTAAGTTAAGCCTAATGGACTGCTGCTGTACTTCAGGCGGAAGTGGCTGCTATCAACTTCTATATTAGGCTACTTTGGGTTCCCACTATTGAAACGTTGCCGCCGGATAAAGAGCGGCAGGGGGTGCCATTGATCCCTTGTGGTACACTTTTGGAAATATGGGCCTCATGTCAGCTCAGCGAGCGCTGGGCGAAAAATATAACGCGCGCGAGTGCATGATCCTTCTGATCGAGGGTGGCCACAGCGTTTACTTCAGGGGGGAGGGGGGGGGCGGGCTTAACGGGTCACTGTGAAATCAGTGTTCACGCACTAAGGCTGAACAGCCAAGTCCCTTACGAAGCAGTCGACAACCTCCATGGTAGCCATTAAATGCCGCACATCTCTTAACGAGATGGCTGAGAGATTTCGCCCAAAGGTGATATGGGTTACGGTACACTGCGACATTGAAAGGAACTGTAAGGCCGATGAACTGGCGCGACTTGGCACCAAACTTCCAATTGAGGATATAAAAGATGATATAGGAATGCCATTACAAACTTCCAAGCTACTTATTTCCGAGCGGCTCACTAAAGTAACGAACGACAGATGACATGACAAAATCACCTGCCAAACTGCCAGGAAACTATGGCCGGCGCTCAGCGCTAAGCGCACAGGCCTACTACTGAGCTTAAATTAATTGGCAGGCGTGTCTACCGACTAGGCGTACGATTACATGACTTCTGTAGAAGTTATAAGATGTAGAAGAGGATGAAGCGAGTCTGCGCCTGTTGTGCCAGTGCCCTGCTCTATCAAGATGAACACTGGGTAGACAATTCTTCGACTAATTGGAGAAATTCTTCTAAAATTCCTGCGAAGTTCAAAATGGTTTTAGGAGCGATTGTAAGTTACTGACCCCACATGCGGCATCACAATGAGCCCCAATCCTAAGTTTGTCTTACAGACGACCGCGACAACCTAACCTAATCTAAGGCTGAACATATTACCTGATCCCGTATGTCGCAGTTGCCTGGAAGATGGCGAGGTGGAATCACCTCAACATTACCTTTTAGGTGGCCAGCATTTGTGAGATTAAGGTTGAAGTGTACTTCGGCTCTCAAATCCGTATTATACCTTTGGAGCTCTGGATCTTTTGACCAGTTCAGAGTCTGAGTAGTTTTTCATACACAAATTTAAATAATTCTAATTCTTAACTGCGAAAGAAAGTATGAGATACGTATTAAAAAATTTGAAATAAACGGAAAATGTTTGTACACAATAATCAACAAGCAACGTAATCAACACACGAAAACTAAAAAGGAACTACCACATCTCTTAAATGAAAATATCTAAAAATACCCGTACAGTTATTTTTGTTCTACCTTTTGTCATGCCACACCATAGATCGATCCAAATTGATTCACACATCCTCGTACATATTACAACAACGTTCAACAGGCACAGCAAGCAACACAGAGCGCCAATGCTCTGATCTAACAAAAAACATCCAACAACAAAAATGCAACACCACTAGTAAAACCAGCGAATCACTCGTTTGCAACTAATAAACTGTCAAATTTATCATTGAACATTGTAGCGTTGTGGCAACGCCTTGGCGCCATCTGTGACACCAACAAAATTGTAATATAATTTTTCATGAAATTATTGTACGCGTACACACATGGAAGACTATCAGCCAGCCAGCCCGCTAGCCCGCTAGCCAGGCAGTTAGCTACAAGTGGCATTTGCAACATGTTGTTGTCATTTTTCTTGGTGCCAATTGCATACGGCCGGTACAGCCACCAATTCCTGTTGCCAGTTGGTCGATTGCGAGCTGGCGACATTTTCTGCACTCCACTATATTGATGGTATGCTTTTAAATATGTGTAGCTGATGTTATTATTGTTGTTCGTGGCTCGTGGCAATAGTCAGAGTCATTAGTTAGTTGTGGCAGCAACAACTACGTCAGTTGTCGTTAGGCGTTTCTCACTTTTGTTTTGGTGTTTTTTTTTTAGTTTTGGTTTGTGGCAGCAACAATTTAGGCACGCGTTAAACTCAGCTTGGCACGCTTGCCTATATGCGTATGGTTGTATCTACGTATGTACATACATATGCATATTTTTGCTGTTGCTAAGCGTAGAAATGCATTGAGGCAGTCTCTGATTTAATCAAAGTGCAACAAGTATTTTTCCGATGGAAATTTTCCAGACACTTTGGATGATCTTTATTGCCCACATGGTTTCCGGCTGCACAAACGCGACTAAATACTTACAAATATGCATAGTTTGTATATCTACCTACTACATACATACATATGAATATTTATGTATGTTTTGTATTTATTGCCTTCTTGGCTTCAAATCGATGCCGAATGCTAATGCCAGGTGCATGGTCAATGATTTGTTTGACAACTCGTGCGTCTTGCTATCAACCAGTCGACGATATTTTACAATTTTTGCCGCATTCTTTGCCGGATTTTTCTCGTAGCTAACAAACTGATGTAAATGAAAATACTCGGACGAAGAAAAATAATTTCGTGTTATTATTACTTATTGTGGCGTAATAATATTTGTTCCAACGGTATTTTTTTTTTTTTTGGAAAAAGGCTATTTCGGTAATCACCACATCTTTTGATCAGGCTTCTTTCTCTAGACTCCAGCAGGAATCGAACCCGTATCAGTGATGTGCAAAGTCAGCAGAATCTTGCTGCTTCACAAAACCAAAAAGGAGTTCTCAGTGCAGGATGTTAATGCAGAGATTCGGCAGATAGTAAACCACTATAGACGCAAGAAGTGTTGACACTTTGCCTCTATTGTGGGCAAGCTTTGGTCAATCATAAGGTCACGGTCCTACCCAATGAAGAACGATGTCTGCCTCGCCGTAGCCAGAGCGATGCGACGGTTATTTTAGCCGGCAATTCGTTTTGCATTCTCTATTGGGCGGAGCCAGACATCTAGTGATCAGAAGGCTACGCAAACTGCCAAAATAAAGTGCGCCTCTAGCTTTCACCAGCGGTGAGGGCCAGGTGACTAGCAGAAAGGCAAAAGCCACTAAAGCAATTGGTCCCGATGGAATACGCATTATGCGTATGAAAAGATTTGGGGCAGGGGGCTTATAGTACCTCACCAAGGTCCTCAACACGGCAATGACCACTCTGATCATACCTGACATGTGCATTCTGGGTCAGTGATTTCACTGCGCGGAAACCTGTCAACAACGGCTAGTTTTATCGGCCGATAACAATCCTTTCCCCGTCGCGAAAGTATTAGAGGCCTTGCAAATGCTACTGCAGCAATAAACGTCATAAACACTCAAATAACTCGTGGTCTATATTGTAACCGCTACTGTGAGATAATAGTCCTAGTAGCGTTGGATTTTTGTAAGGCTTTCGAAACCGTGTGTCAATCAACCCTACTAGAAAACATAGAGGCTTCCTTTCTCCCACATCGACTCAAACGGTGGCCAGTAAATATTATGAATGGTCGACACTCGTAAATTTTTTTCGAGGTAAAACGTAAAAACAAAGGAAAATTAAATAAGGAATTACACAGTGGGTGTTCTCTCCCCGCCCGCTTCTCTTTATTTCCTACATTTCAAAACTCTCCCAACTACCTCTGCTCAAAAGTAAACGGCTACCACTCCGAACTTTCTAGCTTCTTTACTGTAAGCAGAGGTCCTTTCTACGAAATCCTCGGCAACCATTTTACCACCTATACAGCTGGGTACTCATGTCGAGGGCTTTTTGCGCCATTTTAATGCAATTCCCATGGGAAATGTTTTGCCTTGATTCTCTGATAGATTTGTCTACTAGGTCTCTTAGTGTTAATCACTAGGGATAAGTGTTTCCTGCGTTTTATATCTAATATTCGAATGGCCTGGACATTCACACAGCAAATGCTGGACACTTTCTTCACTGACGGCTGCTACAACTTCTATAATATTGTTCATAGATAAGTGCTCTTCCTGCCACATGTTTACTGGGGCTGTCAGTGATCCGTGATGGTTGCTAAAATTCTGAATATCTCTGCCCGTTATCTGAATATTAAGCAGATCGCCTTGTTAATCGAGCCAGATTTCTCTTAGCAGGAATGTCATAACCGACTAGTCTTGGTGAGATCCTGCGTACCTCCTTAATATAAAAACATTTTAATATTCACTCGCTGCGTGATTGATGGGAAAACATACATAAAAGCTGAGGCTTAGTCATCGTTGTCTGCATGCTCTCCAAGTAGCCACAGTTTGACTATGACTTAACACCATTCTGACCCGATCTACCACTTCGTAGTCGTAATTCACTCAAAGATAATGAAATTTCCCTATGTTCTAACAAATATATAGTAACCATTTCTGAAATGTGGATAACAGCTGGGGATAGGGCAAAAAAATAAATGAAAAAAAGAAATTGGTTGCGCTTGGTACTACCAAAACAATTGCACCAATATTGCTGCGTCACACTTCGAATGCCTTATCAATGGGTAAATGAGCGGTGCAAACCAAGCTACTTTTCGACTAGCTGGGAATCAGACAAAAAATGGGAACCCAAATTAAAGAAAAATATGATTTCTCTAGATTTTTGTACAGGCAATCTGATGATCCTATACGTTTTCGAAAATTTTCCCATTTTCATGGTGAAAATTTCAAACAAAAATTTATTTGAATTTTTCTCAATTATGGCCATTTTTAATTTTGTTTTTAGTCATCTCAATCGAAAGATCAGGTCTTTTTACATAGAAATCATTAATAAAAAATAAATGATTTTTCCGAGTGAATGGACCCATATACATAAGTGGTTATGCATACAGGCTACTGTTTGTATTTTTATTTTATCCAGCGGTTTTAAAGTAAAGAAGAAGAAAACTGTGATAGTAAAGTAACAATATACTATATGCGTTGAATACACACATATATTTAGAAAGAAGAAATTGCTATAATGCCGGATTTCAACTGTGCATTAAATGACAAAATCTTTACTGATAAAATTGGGCAATAAAAAATCGGGTGCCAATATGTTAAAAAAAAATTTAATAGAGTCTGTTTTCACATGGCTTTATTTTATTTTTGGAAAATTTGTCGCGATTTTTGTCATTTCAATGCCTAGTGGAAATTCGTCATAAGTTCTTGGCCTGCAACTTACTTCGGCAATGTCCTCGATAGGCAACAGTTAGCGACGGATTATTGGTGCGGCACGCTCGTTTCTTCAATTGACATTCCGTATTATAGGTGCGACCATCTGTGCCGCAGACTGGATGTGGCCCATGGAAATTTTCTACCTATTAAAAACATCAAAATTATATTAGATTAAAATAAATTTCAGATTGCGTATGCATACATATTTTGCGTGCACATATGCATTAGGATAGGTCAATTGTATGGGAAATTTTTTTCGACTATGCGGCTGCGGCATAGGAGTATTCTACGTGATATTCTAAGAGAATTTTTACGAAGAAAACAGTTTGGTGTGCTCGAAATTCATTTTAGACCTATGGTTTATTTGGCGAATTTTTACGTAGAATACCCCTTGCCATAACCGCATTGTAAAAACCTTTAAGAAAAGTTCCTCTTCCCCTCTCTACAGACCCCTGGGGACCTGGAGTAATTTAGCACTTTGACAGATAAAATGTAAACTCGGGTTACGCTATTCATTGGGATTGAGCTGGCATATGAGGACGTGGTTGGTGTCGTACGGGGAGTCTCCACATGCCGAAACTCATTAGCTGTTGAGGCGGCTACCTGACCGTAACTGGGCCAGAGTAACGCCGGGTCCCTCTTGGTAGTTGAAGCGCCCTCTGATGCGTCTGGGCGGAGGCTCCTCCTCGAGTAAGGGTCTGTTGAGGTGCTAACGTCTGTGAAATGCCACCAGCAACTGCTTGCTAAGCATTTTGTTATGCTCCTTTACGGGAAGCATTTAGGCCCCGCTGTACAGGTGGAGCTCAGGCATTTTGAAGTGAGATAGGGCATTTTTGAATCGAATTCTGAATTAGGGCGTTCTTCAACCAACTTCTGAAATAGAGTGTTTTCAATAAAATTCTGACATAGGGCGTTCTTGAAAAGTTTTTTGAGATAGGGCGTTTTCGAACTGGCTGCCGAGATAGCTCGATCTTCCACACAGCAGTCGATATGTACTTCGCCGGCCGCCGTTTGAGTCCCTGTGGAAGAGAGGCAGCGTCAATATCTTTCTAGTAGCGTTGAATGACAAATGGTGTCAAATGCCTTTGACAGGTCCAACGCTACCAGGACTGTTGTCTCACAGGGGCGGTTGTGGTTTAGGCCACGAGTTATCTGGCTGTTTATGGCGATAAGTGTTGTTGTTGTGCTTTGCAGTTTACGAAAATCATGCTGATGCTTCGCTGGGGCCAAATGGTTTGTAAAGGCTCTGGTACTTTGCATCAATTGCGCGGTAAAATAAGCGTTGTTTTATTTTTTTTTTGCCAATTACTATTTCCTTAGTCCTAAACAAAAAAAAAAGAATAGCTTTGATTTTTCCCCCATACGAAATCGAGCCAGCCTAATGTGCATACACAAATTGTGAATAACTTATGCAAAAATAAACCCAAACACAACCCAAGTCAAAATTTTCTTCCTTTCAGCAGGTTCCTTCCAGACACGACTAAAGCTAAAACTATGCAAAAAATAAAATTAAAACTCACCGCAACTTCGAATTGGCGATTTGGGAATCCGTAAACATTGAAATTATCGTAAATTCCATCGAGTAGTGTCGAGTCATCGGAATTGTGAAATGATTTGCCAACGTCAGCAGAAACACCTCCACCAAAAAATGCTTCCGACGAAGTGCTAAGTTTTTCTTGTTTTGTTGCTAGCGACGACGACGACGACAACGATGGCGATGACTTTGCTATATGACTTCCGTGATTTAATAAACGACGATCGTCAGACGGCGACATGGAATTTACGGGAGTGGCGGTAGCAGCTGTTGTCTGCCAGTCCATTGTAGTTGGCACAGCAGTTGTTGTCGTTGTCGTTGTCGTTGCTGTTGCTGTTGTTGCTATTGTGGTTGCTGGCATTATGCTATCACCGCTGTGCGCTGTCAGCGAGGATGTTGCAGACGATGTACGCGTGCGCACGTTGTTGCCATTGTTGTTTGCATTGTGATCCTTCAGCTTTTTGTGCTTTTTATGCGCGCGATGATTGTGTTGATGGTCACTTTGCTGATGGGGCGGCTGCTGCTGCTGCTGCTTCTGTTGTTGCTCTTGTTGCTGATGTTGTTGTTGTTGTTGTAGTTGCTTCTGATGCTGGTGATGTTTGCGTTTACGTTGCAGCTGCTGCTGTTGATGCTGCTGATGATGGTGATGACGTTCACGTTGTCTGCCGCCATTAACGTTATTCCTACTGTTGCTATTGGTCTTATGGTTGTTGTTGTTATTGTTAGCGCTATTACCGTTCAGAATGCCTACTCCTGCCGCCAGCGACACCTCATCGTGATTTGGAGCGTTTTCGAGTTGTCTAGCATTTGACGTTGCTGCTGTTGTTGCCGTTCCTCGTGACGAAGCTGACGGTTGTAACGCGGCTAGCTGAAAACGTTTAATTATGGCGAAATTATTGTTGTTGTTGCTATTCTCCTGTTGGCGCTTGCTAACCTCCATTTCATTCTCATGCAACCTTCTTTTTTTGTTGTGATTCGAATTTTTATTGGTTTTATGTCTAGACGGCAAGTTTAAGCTTCGTCGTGACTCCGGCGGTGCCGTTGGCATTCTTGCTGAATCATCGCTACTCCGACGATGGTTGCCGGAAGATGCTTCTTCGCTGCCATCATCTAACCAATCATCAATATCACCATCATTATCAGCATCTTCATTGTTGCCATCAAATTCTCTGTCCTCAGCATCCACACCCTCTTCACTTTCGTCACCATCGTCTTCATCACCGTTGTTGAAGTCATCGTCGAAGCTCTTGTGATGTCTGCTATTCGTTCTTATATTGCTAAAGATTTGTAATCGTCGCTGGACGGGTTTCTCTGTGTCATGCTCGGCATTGGCCGTTATCAAAAGTCTTCCCGAATTCTCCACTCGTCTACTTAACTGAGGCTTCTGTTGGCTTTGACTTTGCATTATAATCATTTTTCTTTGGTTTTGTTGTTGCATTTGCAATTGGTGTTCGACACCTAAATTAACATTTGTAATTTCACTACTTAAACTACGTATGTCGCGTGGCGACTTGCCTTCACCTAACAGCGTCGATGTAGCGCTACCGGCTCCGTTGCCTGCTTTGCCAACCACACCACCACCACCATCACCACCAGCGCGGCCGCCGCTGATGCCATCGCTTCCTAGTACTATGTGCCTATTCAGCCGCAATTGTTCGCTGTGTGGTTCGTGTCCGCGAAAAGTCCTCTGTTGGCTTCGTTGCTTGTGCCGCTTAGCCGCCCCACATTCAGGTGCACAGACACACTTTGGACGGCCTTTGCGCTTGACGCATTTCTTATTCCAACTGCATTGCATGCTCTTGCAGCTCACTGAAATTGAAATAAGTGGTTGGGTATGAATAAATACATATGTACATAAAAATATCGAGCCCTAAATGCCAAAAAGACGTAAGCGATAGTTTTTTCAAAATTTTCTTAATGATGCAAGAATGTTCCTGCAGCAGCCAGATGCATTTCTGCATCCAAAATAAAATTGTGAAAAATTGTCGCTTACGTATTTTTGGCGGTGAGGGCTCGATATATGAGACACATGTCCAAAAAACAAATGGTTATGGAAGCACAGTGTGTGTGTTTTAGATAAAGACTCAACATACTACATATGTATGTATGTACTAGTATTGGGAAGTATTGAGTACTTTTGAGGATCGAGTTCTTTGGTATCGATACTTTTAAGGATCGGGTATTTTTCAGAGTACTGAGTCTTACTTTCTTTAAATATCCGCATGTTTGTAACATTTCAATACTTAGTGTAGAAATCTCACAAGCTGGCAGTATTTTATTCAAATTAATATATAATTCCCATATTACGTCATATGAATGGCTAACTATACTGAAAATTATTGCAACTGCAAATGGAGTACAATTATTTCTGAATACCGTTAAATGTAAATAACAATCAGTACTTTTTAATTCTGTTCGGCACTTAATACTAAGTACTTTGATCGATCCTGAGTAAATGTATCAAAGCGATTATTGGAACAGAGTATTTTTAAGTACTGAGTACTTTCGAGTTCCTTTTTTGAGTACTGAGTACTTTTGAGTTCTTTTGTGAGTACTGAGTTCTTTGGAGTACTCCAAATCTAGAATCGAGTTCTTTTGTGAGTACTGAGTTCTTTGGAGTACTCCAAATCTAGAATCGAGTTCTGAGTACTTTTGGTATCGATGCATGTATGTACATATATCCCCTTATACTTACAAGCACAGGGTGAGCAGGTCATGCCATCACCAATGGTGGTCGCAAAAAATAATTCCACGTCTGTTACATCTCGGTCAGTGTAAAATAGCTCTGAATATCGACAACACTCGGCCTTAGTGCTATTCCGCAAATAAATCTCACTACATTTGCCATTACTTTGGGACGAACGCCAGCAGGCGCCGGCTGAAAATAGAAAATTTATTTAAAAAGATTAGTGGTACCAGGGAAAATAAATGGGGTCAGATCAAATCTAAAAATTTTTTTAAAATGTTTGTCGTTTGAAGAATTTGTATTTAGATTTTCTCGTAATTCTATACAAAGCTTCGATGTCTTGAATACCCTACGATAAATGTCTGAGCTGACAAGTTAATTCGATCTCACAGAACAATTTAATTTGCACAAAAAAGTGAATATTGTACATAAATTTTTGATAATTTTATTACTGGATAAAAATTGTTAGTAATTTAAAATTTAAATTTTTGGTAAATTTAAAGCTAGACATGCATTTGTGAGAATTTTTAAGGCATAATTATGGTAATTTAAAATATGGTTATCAATTTTTTACTAAACTGGACAGATATATATTTTTAGTAATATAAAATCTGAATTCGTTTTCATATAAAAACGAGACATGAATTTTTGAGAATTTTAAACGGAACATAATTTTTTATTTTATTTATTTTTTAAACTGATCATAAATTTTTGATTATTTAAAAATTGAACACAATTTTTGATAATTTTAAAATCGGATATATATTTTTGGTCATTTTAAAACCGGACATGTGTATATTTTAATTCAATTATAATCTGAATTTTTGGTCACATAAAAAAAAGAAAGACATAAATTTTTGAGCAATTAAAGCTGTATATAATTTTCGGTAGTTTTAAACTGAACATACAGTTTTAGTTATTTAAAATCTTAATTTGATGTCAGATAAAACGAGACATGAATTTTTGAGCAATTTTAATAGGACGTAAGTTTTAGTCATTTAAAAACAGATTCTTGTTCATATAAAAAAAGAGGCATGCATTTTTATATAAATAAATTTTTGATCATATAAAAAAAGAGACATGCATTAAAACTGGACATAATTTTTGGTCATATAAAAAAAATAACACAAATTGCTAATCATTTCAAAATTGAAAAAAAATTTTGAACATTTTAAAACTGGACATTTATTTTTGTCCGTTTGAAAACTCGACATACACATACATATGTATGTATGTACCTAAGTCAGTCACGCTCAGAGAGAGTTTGTACTATGTGCACGGCGCTGTTTTGAGCATCACTGATTTTAAATCATTCGATAGCTGAAGTTAGAAATTGGCACTCGAATGGTGAATAAATGATAATGCCCTTGAAAAGTGTGCCCAAAATAGTGGGGACAACAACTTTTGAATTGTAAAACGGAAAACAGTGGAAGTGCAAAACTATCGATAGTAATACTAGCGATAGTATCGATAGTTTTAATTTTCCTACACTACGCAAGTTATGTAAATTTGTTTATTCGCCTACAGAGATACTCTTACAGACTATTACAAATTAATTAAAAATTTTAAAAGGTCTGATTCGAATTTAAATAGGTTCTGGTAGAAATTTAGTTCTAGTGCAAACTTATGCAATATTGAAAGTTTATTTAGCATAAGGAATTTTTTTTATTATAAAAATATGTATATCATACTCTATAGCAAACACCATGTACATAAATCCGATTTTCAAACTTTTTATAAAACTTATAGTAATGGAAAAAATTTTCATAAAAATCTTAAACTTAAAAAAAAAATTTAGCCCATTAAATTTTAGCTGAGGCGTTTCAAGTTTCTAAAAAATTGCATTGATTCTTGGTAATTTTTATACCCGATGAATTTTTATAACTGATGAGAACATAAATTTTTTTTAAATATGTACGATGTTTACATAAAAGTCATAGTAGTTTTATTTTAATGTTCAGCCCTTTTGCAGTAAATGGCACACAAATAGATATCTTAATATTTCGTTTAAAATGCCAAATTTCCTGCAAATGCATTATAATGTACAAAAGGAATTTCACTAGTAATTGCGTACTTTTCTACTACTACCTTTTTCGCACCAAGGGATTTCATTTTTCCCCTTTTTCTGTCCTTCGTAAATGAAACCTTTTGTAAGGGAGTGTCAAACCGCGGCTGTCAATAATTATCTAACCTTTAACTATTGAATCATGGGCGATGAGATCACGAAATATGATAAAGAGGGTTATTTTTTCTCTTGTGAATCAGCTAGAAGACAAATAGTAAACAAGTTATCTCATCCTCACATACATGGTACATTTGTATGCATGTAAGTTTATTCTTTTATATAATCATGGTAACACATAACCTATGTGGGGATTTTTTTTTTATTTAGATAAGCAAAATAATCCCAGAATAAGTATAGCAAAATTGACCATCATAAACAACGATTGGGAAAAAAGTAAAAAAAAAAAATAACAATAATGATGCGAAAGCAGTAAGAAATGAATTTTATAACCGAGAAGCGCATATCCAAATCCCTCAGGTAAAATCATCGCAATGCCGTTGAATAGTGTTCAACCAAATAAATTTCGTGCTGATCATTTTTATAAAACACACAACGATTTCTGTCTGGCTGCAATAAAATCAAATTAATTTAGCGCCAATATTTTTAGATCAAAACAAAAACATACAAAAAACTATCAACTCATAAACGAATGCCTTAAAAATGTTGCAGTCAGCAGCCATAACCTAGAGACACTTCTTAATCGTTAACAACCGATGATATGCGGTTATTAATACCTACGCACGGATAACATAAACATACATACATATTCATCCCATTGAAACTTAAAATTGGCAGTACACGTAAATGATACAAATAGGCAACCGCGGCATTTCACGTGGGAACATATTAATTTGGACGGTGCACAGTGGTATTTCGGCGGAAAAATTAGTTTTTTGAATATTCAGTACTTACATTTGGAAGGCTTAGGCGTGTAAAGCAATATATGAACACAAAAAATTCATTATAACTTATTACCAAATTGACAATTTTATACAAAATAAAAGTAATAGGAGGAGAAGCATGAACAAATACTAACATACTTAGGGGATTCACAAGACCTGTTAACCGTCGTAAAATCTTAAGCTTAAAATATTTTTTATGTAAAATAAAATGGTTCTCGAGGATTTCTAACTATATCGAAATGTTTTTAAACTGATAAAAGATATATAATTAGCCCCGCTTAAAACCATTTTAGCGGTTAAATTTATATAAAAAATTTTAAGCTTTAGATTTTACGACGTTTAACACGTCTTCTGAATAGTAAGTATATAAGTAGGCTCTGAAATAAATCGATCACGCCAATTTTTCGATTTTTCTTTATTTAAGTCTAAATATAAATGTTTAATTTTTTCCAAAAAATGTATGGGCTTGCACCACTGTGCGGCGTAGGCCTTAAATGGAATTTATTTTAAGGTATACATACATACTTACATATGTTTGCGTATATATATCAAAGGTATATGTCAGACCATAAACTTTCTAAAAAATACGCATTCAAGTGGGTATTTTATATTTTTGCTAGTTTTATAGATCTATGATTTTAATTTTGCGCCTTTTTCCACTTTGCCGACTGGCAAATTTTTGATTGATGAATATGTAAGCACATATATATGTGTGTATTATAGATATGACTAAATAATTCGTGTACTAAAGCATTTTGAAGCTGATTTCTGAGTTGATATCAAATGCTTCGTGTAAGCTGTTTTTTTTGGCCCTAAACGACTAATATTTTTGAATTACTAGAACAGCATATTTTCCATGTTTTCTTACGATATATTGGCAGCTGAGAGCAAAGAAATGCGGAATGACCCAAAGCCATTGACAATTGAAATGTTCAATACAAGTAGAGACGATTTTTAAACCTTTCATGAGCATGAAATCGTATTATAACTTTGGTCCGATGTTTGTAAGTACCAGAATAAAAAGAGATAGACCCATTAAAATGTATACTTAAATGATCAGAACGTCGAGCTGAGTCGATTTAGCCATGTCCGTCTGTCCGTCTGTCCACCGTCAGTTTGTGTGCAATCTAGTCTCTCAGTTTTCGAGATATCCGGATGAAATTTGGTAGGTGGGTGTATTTTTATAATGTATTAATCATTTGTCGGAACCGGAAGAATCGGACTACTATAACATATAGCTCCCATACAACTGATTGTTCAGATATGAGATTTTTCGTTATAACTTCTCCATTATGCAGATAGGAACACATTATCAACAGTCAGGCAGGAGCTATGCACACCCCGAAAGCTTTTGTTGCTTATCCATTTCCTTATACAACCTGCTCCTATAAAAAGTTTTCACCGAAATTAGATGGGGAAAAATGCACAGACCGCAGTTCAAGGACCTCAAATTTCAACGTTCTTATCAAAAGTTATTTTGCTGAAATCTCAGAGAGGATCGAAAAATTATATACAAAGGAAATGCGGCTGAATGGGTCAATAAAAATTATTTTGGACTGTGAAGCAACTCTTGAAAACATCCCTGGAGATTATAGCAAAACTATAAAAGAGAAACTGCCCGAAGATCATTATATTTCAATATCATTGCTTCAACAATTTTGGAACAAACTTAGTTTAGCTCCAAAAATTTTGGAGTTATTGACGTTAGTTGTTATTTACTTCAATAAAATTCAAAAAATTTAGCTAAACTTAGCCAAAAAATTGGGGACTTAAACATTTTGTTCCTCCTTAATCAAAATATTTTCAAACCACCTCCTTCTTAAACGTCATTTGCTAGACCCAGAATGTGATATATGTATGTATATGTATTTCAATAAAATAGATGCCGTAATTTAAGTTAAATTTGAATTTTTAAACAGGGAGCTACGCTTATACATTTAGTTATTTATAAATTAGTACTTTTTCTATTGATACCCATATTTTAATATTTCATATAACTTAAACAAATGGCAACTCCTTTTAAAATATTTTCAAACTACAACCTTCTTAAACCTCTTTCGCCTGATACCCATATCTATTGCGACACATATTTATATCTTACTTAGTTCGCTTAATTCTAATTGATCTCTTAGTTTTTTAAACAGGTGTAAACGCTCCATTTCGATTGATACCCATTCATTTCCCTAAATTGAATTTAATTCTTAATTAGGTGGCAACACTTTAAATGTTCTAACCTAGATATTTATGAACTCTCTGTATAAAATTTGTATAAAAAAGGCATATGATGTTTTGAACTTTATAAAAAATACATATACCAAATAAGGACGAGCGAAGAAAACCAAAATATATTTCAAAACACACGAAGCAATCAATATACTCACGAAGCCATGGGAAAATTATAGTAAATCTGCATTTTTTGGTTTTTCTCTCTGACCTCAGGATTTTTTTTAAAGAACCTTGTAATTTCAAAGTTATAATTAATTCGAAAAACTTTAAAAGATGTGTACCAAATCCAATATCAGCTTCTGAAGAATTTAAAAGAATTAAAATTTTTTAGTTCACATGGATGAATAGGTATTGAAAATGCTCTCTTATTTCATTTTATTTTACTTTTATGCTAATAAATTTAGAAGGACGAAATTCGAGGATGTGGTCGAGTTTGTGTTTATTAGTCATCAACATATAATTTTTTCAAAAATAAATCTTACAAAATTTCAAGGATATTCAAGGATAAAATTTTAAAAGGACATTTACATTAACTAATCGTAAATAAAAGTTAATCTGTTTAAGTTCTATATAATTTTCTCTTTAATCTGATATCTACCTTAAATTTGATTCTACATTGCACTGAATTTTTAAAATACTTTTTTGAATAAATCATATTTCTTAAATTTCAAAGTCCTATAAGAAGATCCTGGCGTCGGAGAGAAAGACTAAAACCGTAGATTTACTATGTTTGGCCAATGCGAATGTTCGCGAATATATTTAGTAATTCGACAAATTTGCATCAAAATTTCAAACTTAATATTTATTTTATTTTTTTAATATCTTTGAATATGCAGCATTATAATAAGATAAAGGTTTCAAGTTTCTTAAAAATCGCGTTGTTTTTTGAGACATTTTTTGTTTGCCGAGGGTGGTGTGCATTTTATCCCATATAAAAAAAAATTTACGAACGTACATCCTTTGTGTGAGAGAATAGCGTATTTACACCTTCAACAAAAAAATATCAAATCAACGCAATTTGTTACAGACTTGAAGCTTGCACCTTATTATACCAAAATGTAATGGGCTATGAAACTCCGTACTAAAAAAAAATGCAATTCAAGTGGCCGGCGCTGTGTGTTCGCGGATTTTCATTTGTCTATGTAGATGACATGACAGCTGAAAATCAGTTAAGACATCAACGTCACAAATTACTTAAGATGTAACAGTAACATATTTATGTCTAAGTACCTACATACAGTTGCACTGGCGTACATGCGCTAATATTCCCAGCACACCCCTCTAGGAAAATCTTTAACTAGTGAACCAAATCATGGTTTCTGCCTTGTAGTGCGACTTCAAAAATTTCAAAGATTACGCAGAAAAGGAGTAGGCGATGCGGATTTTGCTTACTAAAAAACGTGCTGTTTTGTGAAAAATTTTGATAATTTAAAAAACTCTACTCTAAAGGTTATTGTAGTGCACAGTGGTCGGTAAGCCAACAAAACCGGGCATAAGTTTAATTAATGTTCTTTTTTTTAATGTTGGATACTCAGAATCGGTTAAGTACGCTTTCATACAGTCACAATATACAGTGACTCAAACAAGTGCCCACGGGTTTTTTTGTTAATATTCGTAATATTTTTAGAGCTAATTTTTTTTTGATTTTACCATAAAAATACCGTCCAAGCTGTTGAAAACCATATAAATCACAGTATAAAATTTTATACAAAATTTAGGAAAGTTCATCAAATTTTCATCAAAGTTTCAACTTTTTAATCTGAATCGTTAGAATTTTTTTAGCCCATAAAATTTGTATCTGACTAACTGCAAGTTTAAACTAAAAATTTCCGTTGATTTTCGAAATTTTTTGGAGACTGCTTTTGCGTTTTTTTTTTGGTGTATATTGATTGCTTGAAATTTCATGGAAAATGAGCAAAAATCAGCCACTTAAAAAAAATTATCAAAAAATCAAGGCGATTTTTTAGCCGGTTGAAACTTGCACGTTATTAGACTAAATTTGTATGGGCTGTGAAACTGCATACCCAAAAATGTTCTAAAGATTCAGATTAAAAAATTAAAATTTTTATGAAAATTTGTTTAATTTTCCTAAATTCCGTTAAAGCTGGAAACTGTGATTTATATGGTTTTGGTTAAAGCTTGGACTTACGTTTATTTTATTGTTCCAAGCAAAGGTTGCCCATTCTCGGGTTCATCATACGCCCCGGCAATCAAAAAAATGCGAACAAATGAGCAAGCTATAAAATAAGTTTTAATTAGTAAATTTTATTGAAAAGTCTGAGATTCTTTAAGAGAAGAGAAAGTAGTCACATCTCAAAATTTACTTTTTACAGGCCATAATTCTAACACGTCCGTCAAAAATTCCCTACAGGGTATTCCCATTACATTTGCAGGCATGCATGTATGACACTTCACGCATTCTCACAACATTGATTACTCACCATCAACTAGAGGCGGCGCATTGAATGCCAATGCCATAAATAATATTGCCGCCAGTGTTGAGAGCACATTAATGCGTCCATTGCTGGCGGCTGACGATGCGTGTCGTTGCACTATTGTTGTTGCTTTTGTTGACAGCCGCGCGACCACCGGCGATAAATCTTGCCAATTGCTGTCAGTGAAGTGGCGGTGGCGGCTGTTGCTGCTGCTGCTGTGTCTCCTTTGATTACGCGCCACATCTACCACTTTTTGTTGTTTTTGCAGCCGCAGCCGCAGCCGAGTTAGGCTTTCATGCGGCTGCTGATGTTGTTGCCATTGATGGAGCGTTGCTATTTGGCATCGCCTGGTTGACACTTTATCATAATTTCGCTGTTGATGGCTCGTGTCATCAAAGCTTCCACCACCAACAATGACATCTTCGGAGATTTGCTTTAGCGTCACACTGCCATATTTGCGACGGTTGCTTATATAATGGCAAGTTGATTGCGTCAGTAGATTGCCGACAAACAAAATAACTAATTTAAAAATTAATTTAATTTTATATGTAATTCGATTAGTGTTGATTATTTGATTAATTGCATAATTTAATTTATTTTTGGCATTGATGCAATTGACCGCCTCCTCTCTCTTTGCTGCTGCCTCCACAATTGCAGTGAGCTTCATCAGTGGACGCTCCATTTCGTTTGCTTGCAAATTTGGCATGTTTATGTAGAATCTGCGCTTGTATTTGTAATTCGATTTCAGAAATGTCAGTGTATGCTTAGTAGTTGTTGTATTTGTAATGGCTTTCCTAACAGATGCACATTTGCACATTTTCTTTTATTTGTAGGCAATTTTTTGTGATATTCCGAAGTTTTTTGTTTTTGTTTTCTACTTTGATTTGATTGACGAGGGATATTTTAAAGCTGTGATCGCCTTATTTCACCTGAAAAGAGATGCAAGTGAAATGGTTATTAGTTTCATTTTAAAGTAGAAATAGGCCACTAGAAACTGAGTTTAATTTGTGTTTAATTACTTTAGACCAGTTTATTAAAGAAACATTTTAAGACTCTTGGAGGCCAATTTGGTATGGTCACTTCAATGGGTAGGCAGTAGCAGTTGCACGCCTATATATATTTAGTACCGACTCGTGCGTCCCCGTGCGTATCCATGTGCAAGGTTCGGTAATCAACCCTGCACACGGGGTCATCGCAGGCAAACAGGAAGCTTCGGTGCGTGACTAAACACCAATCTAAACATCACACAACGGAAGTTGCTAAAAAGTACCGAGCCGCAACAAAATGCTCAAATCGCTCGGCGGCAGCCATTGGGGCAAAGGCAAAGAAATGCTTGTTAGCAATACATCGTACACCTAGATCTAAAGTGCGATCAATTCAAAAAAAAAAGGGACCATTTTTTGCATATTAATGCATTAAACTTAACTCCAATGAATGCAAATATTTTTTTCTTCGGATTATATACACTAACTAAAAAACGACTGTTAAACATGTATTAATTGCGTTGCAGTTATATTTCCCAATCTGATTTTTGAGTTAGATTACTTTAGTTCTAGGCGTGCGGTATGCAACCGGTTCTGAACTACCTGTTCGTCGGGCGGGTACAAGTAGGACGCAATGGACAAAGCTTCGGACTTGCCACACTCAGCACCCCTGCATTTACAGGATGCATTCTGATGTCATTTGATCATTTATTTAATTTATTTATTTCTTTCATTTAAATTTAAATTTATTTTTTTTAATCCCATTTTAAGATTGTATTATTTTAAAAAGAGGTAAATTTTAAAAACCTTTATTTACTTCTTCTTCTTCTTTATAATAAATTTGATTCCCTTTAAATTTTTAGATTCTATTGCATTTGAGAGAAAGGCATATTTTTTTAAATTTAATTTAATTTTTGGGAACTTACATACTTACTTATTTATATATTTTTTCTTTATCTAAATAATTTTTGTTTTATTTAATTTAATTTTTTCTTTTAGTTTTTCGATTATATTTCTCAAAAATAAAAAATATATATTTTTTATTAGATTCATTTAAATTTTAGAGATTTATTTAATTTTTTATTTTTTAGTTAAATTTTGTTTTAGTTTTAAGATTTGATTGTTTTATAAAGAAAAATATTTTTTTATTAAATTCATTTAAATTTTAGAGATTTATTTAATTTTATATTTTTGAGTTAAATTTTGTTTTAGTTTTAAGATTTGATTGTTTTAAAAAGAAAACCATTTTTTAATTTCACTTAATTTTTAAAAACTTATATTTTCTTATTTTTGTATTGATTTTTTCTTGTTTAATTTAATGTTCGAAAATTTTGTAGATTATATTGATTAAAAAAGGAAAATCTACTATTTAATTTCATTTAATTATTGGGAACTTGTTTGATTTTTTTCTTCAATTAAATAACATTGGTTAAACAATTTTAGTTTGGTTTTCGTTCTCCAGATGCCACTATCCGATTTCTATGTAGAATTGCTAGCTGATTCCGAAAATCGAGTTAATTTTTTTTTCTATGGATACGTTTTCGAGATATTTGAAATTTACCGTTATTCAGCTTAAAATAAAAAGTGGTTCCACTTAATCACGTATATCTTACAAACCAATTTAACAATCATAAAATGAGATACGTCAAATCAAAGCTAATAAAATTATCCATATGAGCAGAAAAGCGTGTTTCTCCAGTGTACGTGGCGTATGAGTAACTTTCTTTCCTGCTCATTTTTCATACAAAAAATCTTTGCATATTTTCATTTGACAACTCATTACTTCTTTATTTATGCCCCGCTTTCCTTCATTAGTAACGTGATTTTTTTTTTGTAACAGAACCTGTTATTTTTTCCATTTTTCTTCTGTTAAAGTTTGATTTTTTTTCATTTAAAAAAAAAAAAATAAAAAAAACTGGAATGATTAATTAATTTGTCAGAAACTATCTGTCCTATCGGAAAGTGATGTATATATTGTTTATGGAGAATTTTATTAGCTTTGATTGGACGTATCTCATTTTAAGATTGTTAAATTGGTTCGTAAGATATACGTGATTAGGTGAAATCACTTTTTGTTTTAAGCTGACTAACGGTAAATTGCAAATATCTCGAAAACGTATCCATAGAAAAAAATTAACTCGATTTTCGGAATCACCGAGCAATTCTAATAGAAATTGGATAGTGGCATCCATTGAACAACCAGTGTAATTATTTAATTTTTTAATTAATTTTCTTTTAACTTTTCGATTATATTACTTAAAAAATAAATATATTTTTTTCTATTAATTCAGCTTAAATTTTAGGGTTTTGCAGATGCATACATATATATATATATATATTTAATAAATTATCTTTTTTAGTTTAATTTTCTTTCAATTTAAAAATTTTATTGTTTTAAAAAGAAATATTTATTTTTCAATTTCACTTAATTTTTAAAAACTTATATTTTCTTCTATGTTTATATCATTTATTTACATTTAATTCAGTTTTAGACTTTTATTAATAAAAAAAGTATATATTTTTTAATTCCGCTTAATTTTTTTGTATAAACTTTTATTTTCTTCTTTTTTATATATTTTTTTTATTTAATTTTATTTAAATTTTTGCATTCTATTTCTCAAATTCATTTAATTTTTGAGAACTTATTTAGTTTCTTTCTTTATTTAAATAATTTGAATTTGGTTTTCTTTTAATATTTCGTTATAGTACTTAAAAAAGAAACAAATATTTTTTTACTTGATTCCATTTAAATTTTAGGGATTTATTTTATTTTATCTTTTTCATTTTAATTCTCTTTTAATTTTAAATAGAAATATTTTGTTTTAATTTCACTTAATATTTAGACATTAATATTTTCTTCTAAGTTTGTTGAATTTTTTTTTTTTGTTTAATTCATTTTAAGAAGTACATATTTTTTTTAATTTCGCTTAATTTTTAGAATATTTTAGTTTCTTCTTTTTTATATCAAATATTTTTATTTTTTTAAATTAAATTTTGTGTGGATTTTAAGATTCTATTGCTTTAAAAAGAAAAATATACATATCCGGTTCTTACATATATTCAATATGACCTATCTGCAGTTTTTACAAAAATAAGATTCTTATATAAAAAATCGACCTTAGACTTAACTGTCATCGGTGATGTGAATGTTGATCTTGTATATCGCTTGTCCGAAGAACTAACTATTGAATTTCAAAATTGAAATTGCACCCAGTTAAGTCCCAGATGGGTTCTAAGATAAGAAAGTAGTTTTTGTATAAACCGCAGACAGGTCGCATTGAATATAAGCCTTCGATATATATTTTTAAATAAATTTTTGGGAACATATTTATTTATTTTTTTCTTATTTAAATAATTTTCGCTCTTTTTTATTTAATTTTATTTTAATTTTTCTATTATATACTTAAAAAAGAAAAATATGTTTTTTATTAGCTTCATTTAAATTTTATGTAATTTAATTAACCTTAATGTTTTAAAAATAAATATATTTCTTAAATTTCACTTTCACTATTTTCTATTGATTAAATTTTTTATAATTTGTTTCCTTTTTTAATTAAATTTTCTTTAAAAATCATTAAATTTTTGGCAACTTATTTATTTTTTTCTTTATTCTAATCCTTTTTTCTAAATTTTACTAAGTTTTCTTTTAACTTTGCGATTGTATTACTTAAAAAAAAAATATATTTTTTTAATATATTCATTTAAATTTTAGGGAATTATTTTATTCCTCTTAAATTTAAGATTTTGTTGTTTTAAAAAGAAATATATCATTTTTTTATTTCTTCTTATTTTTTATGAAATATTTTTCCGTTTTTAAATTTATTTTCATTTAACTTTTGGAAATTTATTAAATTATTTTCTTTATTCAAATAGTTATTTTCTCTTTTTTATTTAGTTTTTCAATTAATAATAATAAATAATAGATTGGCGCTTACACATATGTTAGTGTGTTTGGTCGAGCTTCTCCTCCGATTTGTGGCGTGCGCCTTGATGTTGTCACATCAAGGGGAGCGACCTACAGTTTTACGCCGACTCCGAACGGCGATTGATTTTTTATGAGAAGCATGTTTCATGGCAGAAATTCGTTCGGAAGCTTGCCATTGCCTGCCAAGAGGCGACCGCTATTAAGTAGAAAATCACTTGTTTGTTTCTTAATTCTTTATTTTTTGATGCTGAGTTGAACCGGGCTTGAACCCAGGCACTGAGTAACGTTAGCACGCATTGCTAACCACTACTCCAAATATAAAAAAATTTATATTTTTTTTTATGAAATTTATCTAAGTTTTAGGGACTTGTTTTTTCTGTTTTTAATTTACTTTGCTTTTAATTTGCAGTGTTTATGGTTTTAAAAACCTTACCTTAATTTTCAGCCTTAAAGTCAAACGCTAAGAGCTCCTTGTTATCAGACAGAAGGCAAATTTCAAGATATTTGCCAATTGACTTTTATAAAAAAAGACTTTTGTATTTCGAAAGTGGTGAGTTGACAGTTGCCAGAATTGCCCTGAGAGGAATGAGAGAAATATGTAGCAATTCCAACAACAAAACAACTAGCACAGGGTCGCATTTATCTTGCTATGCTATTTTGCAATGCTATTTTGCAAAATATATCCATGGGTTTCGACGTTGCATATTTTGTTGTTTCCCATGTATTTTTTCATTGTGTGTTTGCAAGTTATGCAATCCGTGCTACGTGCAATGGCTTTGCAAGATTTGGAGAATACCCCTAGTATGTTGTTCTCCTGATGAAATAAATAATTTACCACACTCTGCCACTGCCGCTTGGTCAAAGGCGGAGGCCTGAGCCAGTCCGGTTTGGTAACATCTCAGCCATCGGCAGGTAATGGCATGTGAGTATTTCTGCCATTGAAACCCGCTCTAGATCTATTTTAAGCTTAAGGAGTTATTAAGTTCGTAAATTTTAATAAACCCCCATATATGTACTATAT